ACTCTACAATTATAGAGAGTTAAATGGTAGTTTTCTATCTTATTAATTTGAAGAACAATTATTCATACTCTTTATTCCATTTTTGAATATCATATTATTATTTCTATTTTTTGTAATTAACATATTATTTTTTATATAAGACTATGGACTAAATCTCTAATATATGCAATTGTTTTTAAATTTAATATAACATTCTTTAAAATATCTTATTTTATATATATTACTTTCATCTCGAATTAATAATATTTTTTTTAAAAATTATTTTTGGTCACCTTGTGATACAATTTAATGTTAAATCAATTTCCACTACAAAGAATGCATAAATAATAAGATAAAAAACTTAATTTAAAAATATAATACATAACATATTAATTTAAATACAAGATAACAATAGATACAATGCATAACATAATAGTTTCAAAAATCATAACAATAACTTAGTAATTCGGTAATTCGTTTCTGGATTTAACAATATTCGAAAAAAGGAATTAGTGTATGATTTAAAGAAGTTGTGATTGTGATTGTGATTGGCTTGTTGATTTCTTTTTTCAATTATTCCTACTTGTTCCTTAGAAATTTAGAATAATATATAGTTTAATATTGAATAAAAAATTTCAAAAAATTAAAATATGAAATTATATAGAATGATTATTCATTAAAAAAATTTATATTATAGAATAAGAAAACAAAAAGGAGCTAGAAATTATAATATAATATTGAGGAGAGAAAAAAATTCCTTTTAGGGAGTCAAAATAGAGAATCAGGTTGGAATTGATTGTCTGAAAAATAGAAAATTTCATATTTGGAGAGCAAAATAAAGTGTAGGGCTGGAGATGCCCTAACTATAAAAAAAATCTCTATATAGTGTTTTTTTAAATTTATTGGGAGAATTATTGAAAAAAATACTTACTTATTTCTTAATAATAAAATTATAAAATTGAAGATACATGAGATATACACCTCATAAATCATGGAACTCACACCCTGTATTATAGGGCTTAAATCTGGCCTCATGTTGTGTAAAGTATCTCTCCTCGCACCACCATCTTTTAGAAGAGTGCTTTGATCTTTGTAGTCCGATAGTACAATGAAAGATAAACTTAAATACTAAATAAAAGTAGAAAAGTATTTTCGATTCTTTTCCATCTTTAAAAAAATATTAACTACAGGGATATTAAGTCATTAAATCACACTAAAAAAGTTTGGAAGAAAGCGATGGAGGTGAGGGTGAGAATGTATATGTCTACTTTCAAGAATTAGTTTGGATTTATGTCGGGTAATAGGCCAGAAAAGCCATCTATTATAGGAGGACACTAATGGAGAAATTTCAAGAAAGAAAATGGGACTTGTATATGATGTTCACTAACCTTGACAAGTCTTGTGACAATGTCTTGGGGAAAGTCTTATAGGGATGCCAAAAGGCAATAGGTGTATCGATGGCCTACATTAGGACGATAAAGGACATGTACGAAGGAGTTAAAACACGATTATAAACGGGGAGAGAAGACTAAAAGCATTTTCCTATGGAGATGGGATTACACCAAGGATAAACTCTTAGGCTATTTTTATTTGCCTTGGTAATGGGTGAATTGATGAGAGACATTCAAGATGAAATTTTGTGGCGTATGTTATTTGGGGATGACATAGTACTAATTGATGAGACACACAATGGAGTTAATATCAAGTTAGAAGTGTAGAAACAGACTATAGAGACTAAGGGGTTTAGTTTGATTAGCATGACCAACACAAAATATATGTAGTGCAAGTTCAATGATGCAAGGCATGTGGTAGGCATAAAAGTGAGGCTTAACGAAAAAAATATCTTCAAGAGGGGTCTATAATATAGGAGAGTGGAAAAATCGATGAATCGTCATATTGGTATGGGATGGATGAAGTAAATGCTTGTCTTTTGAATCTTGTGTAATAAAAAGATACCACCAAAATTAAAAATGTGATAGAATGGTGCTTAAACCAACATTGTTGTGTAGAGTGCAATGTTGTCTAGTCAAAAATTCTAATGTCTTGAAAATGTATGTGAAGGATGAGGATGTTGAGGTGGATGTGTGGTCAAACTAGGAGCGATAACATTAGAAATGAGTAAAATCGAGATAAGGTGGAAGTTGTCTTTGTGGTGGACAAATGAGAAAAGTAAGATTGAGAGAGTTAGGACATGTGAAGTGGAGATGCGTAGACGCACCAGTGAGAAGGTGAGAGGAATTGATTATAGTGGGTACGAGAGAGATAAAGATAAACAAAATAAGCATTGGGAAGAGGTGATAAGACATGTACATCTCCAGGTTGCGGAGGACATGACCTTAGATAAGAGGATGTGGAGTACAATATTAAGGTAGAAAGTTAGTAATAGTAGGACATGAGCTTAGATAAAAGGATGTGGAGAACACATATTAAGGTAGAAAATTAGTAGATATGTAGTGTTGTCTTGCTTTGGGTGACTAGTGTTTGTCTTGGTACTAGTAGTACTGTTGTAATTCTTATTTTTTATATTAATCATTGTTTATTATTATTTTCAATAGTACATCCTAATATGTTGTTCAATATATTCAATTATCACATTATTTTATTGTTTTTTTCGACATCTTTCCAATGAACTTGACAATTTTATGGAGTCAATTCCCTAAATGGTCACCCAAGTTAAGAGAATTGTCTTGGAATGTCATTTATGTTTCATTTACGACCAAAATATCACTCAACAATCACTATTTTCCTCCAAATATACTTGGAACTTTAAAATGATCACTCTCTCCTAGTTGGCATGACATGTCATTAAAATATTTTTTTAATAATAGACTAATTTAATTCATTGAACCTATTTAACTAAAATAATGATCATATTATTTTTACTTTATTTTTAATCTATTAAGAATAAATTTTCATACTTAAAATCTTTTATCAAAATTAAACTTTTTATTTTTTATGCTATGAAGAATACATTTTTAAAATATATTATAATTTTATTAATTTTGAATCCTTATAAAAACATACATTCAAAAAAATATCTATATACAAAGCACTCATTAACGCTAATTTACATGAATTAATCATAAGTTGTATAATAGATCAATAATATCAAAGGTCAATAAACTATTAAAATAATATTAATTGTATATTTTGCAATTCATGCTTTCGATATTTTTAAGAAGAAAGTGAATAATATTATATTTTTTATCCATTAGAAAAACTAAATACCACAAAAGTCTCCTTAAATTCTAGTTGATATGCCTTGTCATTAAATAATCATTGTTAGTAGAATTATTTAATTCATCAAACTTATGTATCTACAAAATAAATATATAAATTACATGAGAGTTTATGGGAAAAAAATCTCTGTGTTCAATTATTACCTGATAATGTTAAAATTCCTAACTAAATTATTTGATAACTTTTCTTTTATTCCATATTATATTATATTATAACATTAATACAATTAAACATCAATAAATAAACTAATAATCATTTGAATTTACTAATTTAATTCGATAGTATACATATTATATGAGATTAATATATTGATAAATAAAGATCAAAATTTATTTTCTATAAATACTATACACTTACTATTATCTTTTAAAAAAAGATATTATAAGTATATATGGATTTCAAAGCACTCAAATAATTATTTTTTTATAATTAATCGATCTTTAATATTTTTGATTTATTATACAATGTATGATTAATTAAAGTAAATTAGCGTTCATGAGTGATTTGTATATCAATATTTTTTTAATGTATATTTTTATTAGTATTTAAAATTGATGAGACTATAGTACGTCTTAAGAACGCATTTTGCATAACATAAAAACATAAAAAGTTTAATTATGATAAAAGATTTTAAGTATGAAAATTTATTTTTAATAAATTAATTAAAAAAATTAAAAACAATATGATCATTATTTTAGTTAAATGAGTTTTATGAATTAAATTAATCTATTATTAAAAAAAGACTTTAATGACATGTCATGCCAACTAGGAGAGAGTGATGTTTTTGAATTGTCAAGTATATTTGTAGGAAAATAATGATAGATATTTTGATCTTAAATGAAACATAAATGATATTTTAAGAGAATTCTCTTAACTTGGGTGACCATTTGGAAAATTGAATCCATTTTTATCTCGTTACTTGCTATTATATCCTTTATTGTCTCCTTCCTCTTTACACCGGGATTTGTTGCACTTGCTCCGAAGGACATTCAAAATGCAATCTCTCAACTTCTTTTCGGTGGTGCTAAAATCTACATAGGTTGTACTCTCCCTAGATCTCACTTGTTAAATTTCGGTGGATGTTGTTTTCTTTTAGGTGAATTATTAAGTAAAAGGTTACTAAAATAAAAAAAAAATTATTTTCTTTTTTTAAAAAAACAGAGTTTAAAACAGAAAGTAAGATGGTTTTCATAAATTTGGTTGGGGGAGGGGGGGGGGGATATGAAATCCTCCTATACCAAACACAAATGTATTGCACATGTACTACAAATATGCTTATTCACAAACGACAATTACGAATGACTCATCATATTAGTAGTTGTCCAAGGCTTGTGCATCAACTCCTTTCTTGGTAAAAAAAATACTAGTCTAACCACATGTTTCATGCTTCTTTCTTCATAGCCCTAACTAAAGAATGGTGATTTCAGTAGTAAGGAAAAACTCAATCTCACCTGGTGACTGGCATAAGACTTCGAAAGCAATCAAAGATATTGATAAAAAAAAAAAAAGAGAGAGACAACAGATTGTTCCCTCAAGCCTCAATCGACATTGGTCACTCAACACCTCATCCCCCTTGGCACAAGTGTGAGACGGATTTAGCTCTATATTATTATAAGAAAATGTACAATAGGTTACTAAATCCCAAAACCTAGTCCGATACGATAAAAGACTACCCAGAACCATATAGAGAGACAACACTTCACGCATGGTTGAACAGTGTTCGACTTAAGTCAAGCTACTGACTGTTACAATGGGGATATATGAGTAGACAAACTCTAAAATTGAGATACAAGTAGAGCAAACAGCCCGTACAGCCAAAAGAAGTCTCAGCTGCATAAATTTTTGGAAGTATAGTCCTCATTCCAGGATATATTTCTAAGCATTGAATGACTAACAGAATTCAATATAGATATGGTGCAACAGGACTGCCATCTGGTGGTAAAAAGATCAAAAAAAAAAAAATCCTCTTTACATTTCCAGGTAAAGCAAAATTAAAACTAGAATATGTATATTGCTAATACTCCTGCAATTACACAGAAGTGATTCAAAATTTTACCTTGCTGTACTACTTTGACAATTGGACCACCATCATGATCTATCACATTCAGCTACCTATATCAGCTTTTTCAAGTATATCTGTGGCAGTTCTTTCCCGTGTACCAGTCAAAGGATCTTTTGGGCGGGTTTGAACATTGGCATCTGAAGGCTGCTTCTCGCATTTTATATCATATTTTTCAGGTTCATCAATCCCTGCAGCATTTTCTTCCTGTGTCTTGTGGGATGGTTTGCACATTAGCATCTAGAGGTTGCTTCAAAGCAGGATCACCATCTTTTTTGACATCAATATCCTTGGTAGAATTACTAGACTGCGACCACATAAACTGCAAAGCTTGGCCTTGCCAGATTTTTCCATTCGAAAATGCTCTTTCAGCAGAACGGCGCGTTGGGAAACATATACTAGCAGATATGTTTAACATTTCCGAGCCATTATTACCATCTTGAGGCTCCAAATCTTCCATCTCAACGGCGGGAGGGTCACCAAAAGTGGAGAAATGTTCCTTCAATACAGTAACCTAGAAAGGAAACCCATTTATAATTTATCACACAAAGCTAAGAACATGAAAAAAGAATCTACATCAACCTAGAATGTTGTAGCTAACCAAGGGAGATGACACTAGTGAAAAGTACTACAGAATGTTTTCAGTTCCTTCCTCACATATTTAGAAGAAATAGGAGGAACCTAAAGTTGGCAGAAGAAACATTAAAGAAAATCAAGATTTACAAATATGAGAACAGACAAAAACACATAGTTCATACATTGGCCACCGGAAAGTATAAGAAAATAAATGAATAATTTTCAATGTGCGGACACCATCGTTCGGAAACGCACCCTAGTGAGAAGGAGAAGATGGTAATGACACAGGCATGCCTATAATACAATAACAGCTCTGCCTTAGAAGAACATTCAAGGCACAAACCCTAGGCAGCATAAGCAAATATAACTAGAGCATGTTCACATAATCATTTGCAAATACTGAAAAATTTCAACTATTTGAGAGGATTAGAAGAAATTACATTTGCAAGACCACTTGGCATAGGTGGAAGGACTTTGAAGGCAGTGGGACGATTGTCTAGTTTGTATCTGTTGAAAACAAAAGGTGCACCATGTGGTGCCACTGGAGGAATTGACTGTCTCAAGCTTGAAGGTTCCTGTGTAGCTGCAGCAGAACATGATATAGGACAAGAGTGCTCTGCATTTTCTGTTGATCTGTTATTATCGGATACTACTTCAGCTTGTGTTGAGGATACATCATTAAGTCGCATGGAGCTTGACCTCACTTTTGTAGAATCGGATACTGTTTCTCCTTCCTTCTGTTTCTCCAGATCCTGGTCAGAGATTGCTTCAGCTTTCACACCTACGGCCTGCACAAATGTAACATAAAACGGAGGAAGAGAGGGTCCCATTATTAGTTTCTTCTAAAAATCAACGAAATTATATTCTATATATATGGCGAGAAAAAACAAAGTACAAGCTGCAATAAACATGAGATCTGCTTCACAAAGAGTATTAACTTGTACAGTTCAACATGAAGTTATATCATCATATGTGGGAGGGGGGAGAAAAGAATGAACTGTAACAAACACTTCATTTAATAAGCAATTCCAGAGACAAGGTATTCCCTGTAGTCACCCCCTCATTTGGTTATTAAAAAAAGTACTTCTACAGTTAATGCAAGCCCGTAAAAAGCATATCTTTTATAGTAATTCCAAAAAAGCATGTCATGTACTTCAAGTTGATGAAAGTAAACAAACAATATCTCATTTCACTCGCAATAAGTATCAGATATCTAAAAATAAAAAAGAATAATTGATATCAACTTAAAGAGACACTTCCTTAGGACAGTATGTGAAAAAAGAACAGGTAATTACTTGCTTCTCAAGTTTATTCAACTGACGTCGGAACTCACTGCGCTTCTGATCAAGCAGCTCCTGCTTCTTGCGCAATTCTACCTTCAAAAGTTCTAAGCTCGCCACCTTTTTTTGCAGAGCTGGTGCAGCTTTGGGACCATTATGACCCACAGGCTTAGGTAAAGCAGAAGTAGGTGATGGAGCAACAGGACCATGTTCAGCAGCTTTTGGGGCTGAGGACTGGATATTGTCGTTTCCTTTATAAGGAACAGATAGGTGGGGTGGTACTAAACTGGGTGTCACTCCACGAGAGGTTAAAGGTGAATTACTAACACCATTTACTCCATCATCCATAATTCTATCCCTGTTTGCCCATAAAAGCCTTATAAATCGGTTTCCCATCACAGCATCAGGTGCCTTTAAAGCAGCCTCAGCTTCTTCTCTCTTAGAAAATTGAACAAAAGCTCGATCACCACTCAGTGGGATGTGGATGTCAATGACCTCCCCAAACTTTTTGAAATGTGAAAGAAGAGCATCTAGTTTGTTGTCTCTCTGTGGTATGCCTCTCACAAACAGAGTGCGAAGTGCCTTTTGAGGTGGTTTTCTTAGATTATGTCCAGAACTACTTTGGGGCCTGGAAGAAAAATCCTTCATTTGTGGGTCAATAGTTTCTTCATTCATTAGCTTCCCTGGAAGAAATATGCCCTGACTGCTGCCGAGTAATTCCAGATCTTTTCCCGTTTCATCAAAGCTTGAAGCATTTCCTGTACAAGCAGTTCTTTCTTTCACATTCAACTTATTTTTAGACCTTCGGTTTCTTCCCCACACACTCTGAGATCCTGTAGCTGCCTTAGCACCTCTTAGTGGATGCTCAAGATCAAAGGCATTACACAGCCCAACTTGATCATTGTCAGAGGAGTCTTCAACTAACAAACGACCAGTATCATCGCAGTTGGATGAATTTAAATTCTGGAGTGCTGCTGAAATTTCAGAACGATCATTTGACCATAAAGGTTGATCAGGATCATAGAAATCAGCTCCCCCGGCCATAGAACCATCAACAAAAGCATCAGTCAAGCCCAATGCATCATCAATCACTGGAAATTTGCTTTTGTTATGTAAAGCTTTGCCACTGGCCAATGAGCCAGAAGGGCCTATTACAGGTAAAGATCCTTGTCCAGTAACTGGTCCAAGCATGTGCGCATTAGGAAGTGACACAGGAAGATTAAACTGAGAAAGGCTCTGCAATTCGGAAAACAATAGCATAAAACCAAACAGCCGTGCTTAAAGAATTAGTTAAGTACAAGAATAGAGTGCAGGCAGTACATGAACTGGGAATCTTGACCCGACTTACAAAAGCTTAAATTAAAAGAGATGAATATCTAGTAACAGAACAGTCAATCAGCATCAACATTTAGAAGAAAAAACGCACTCTAAAACATGATTGACAAAAGCCATTCCCCCACAGAAAACAAGAACGTGAGATACAGTAATAACTATTTGTCAGCTGAAAGTCCACACACCTGGACATCTTCAACAACAATACGATTTACTCCGTGCTCCATAGGGCACATATCTCCTCTTAGGCAAAATCCACGCTCCTCAAAGTCTCTACATCTCTGCCTTGGAATACCCATATTCATGGTAGGATTCAAGGATGGCCTGAGTGTTCCCTGGAAACCAACGGAATGAAGTGTATCAAGACCGCCATTAGAAATTCCTGAAACCATTCCAAATGCACTCCAAGATGAACTCTGTGCATTAGCAATGTTTTCCACCCCTCTTCCAGTTAAGAGACCGGGAGTAACAGAGCCCTGTGGAAACAGTTGAGATGCAATAACCACTGAGCTGAACCTGGAATCACGTTGGCCCCAGGCATTAAGGTCTCTTCCTCGACCCCTACCGTTACCAGCATCACCGAACAGTGATTGATTCACCCTGATTCTTTGGTATGAATCCTGAGGGGCTCTCGAAAATGAGCCCATACCTCGTCTTCTTGGGAGCTTGGTTTCACTTAACTGAGAGTTCCCTTCCCCATAAGGATGTCCATTTTCAAAAGGCTTGTTTCGTTTCCTGAATGGTCTTCTGAAAACTGGTTCAACAGCCTCTGTCTCTTCAGATTGAGAATGCAATTCTCTCCTACGATGCTTGTGATTGCGATCATCATCATCCTCTTCACTGATTTCTTTCTCTTCAGGATCATCGTTGCTATCAGAAGATGGAAAGGTTGGCTTTGAAGGTGAAACATTAAGCTCCATGAGTCAACACTCAACCTTGTTTATGACCAAAGTTTGTATGCCTCAGATTGATAAGATAATCAAATTATTTAAACAAGCCCCATCAAGTGACCAGTGCCTGAAAGGTAGGGACAAGAATAGGTAGGTAAGACAAAAATCTTATGCAAGCATGACAAGTTGAATTTCACAATTTTATTAAACTTGAAAACGCTTTTCCACATGCAAAATAAAGAAAAAAAGCCTTTTTCTTCAGAGGAACTAGAATAGACCACAAACTTAAACATCATTTAGAAAGAGCACTTTCACAATAAAAATGCAGAATTTTTTTTGCCATGTAAAGAAATTTCCAGCACTATGGACTCATTGGCTTCAAAATCACAAAGCCAGCACAGATGTCCCCTACGCATCTGACCTCCAACATCATGAGGACAGATGATCATGCCAAAAAAATGGACTACACAGTACACATGTCATGAAACATATGAGATTGATCCTTTGTAAGGCTCTGTCATCAATATAACCAGCTAACATGGAAACCGTGACGGTGTGCAGGATTCCAAAAAAACATCAAAAGTTCAGATACTATGGAAAACAGACATCGTAAGTTCGAACAGACACACAAATGAAAAGTTCTTCTTTTATCATGCCATTCTTAATTAGCCTCTCTACCTCACACAATGTAGGGGTAAGGTTTGCATACACCCATCCTCCCTAAGCCCACTTTTGGGACCACACTGGGTATGTTATTGTATTTGTTATCAGAGAGTTATTAAAACAAAAACACTATAATTAATGTAGAAATTTTAAATAATTATTCAAGAAAAGGTATATGATTTTTATACTACTTATTTTCTTATGTTAATCTATTTCTCACACATTCAATCCCCTCCCCCAAAATGAAACAAAGGCAAAATCACCTCATTCCGAATAATTCTAGGGCAAAACTGGTGTCTTTTCCATTGTTTTGAAGCAACGTCAGTAGAATGAGTATTTTTGAGCTAGTTGACTAACCACGGGGGCATTTTGAGCCAAAAAAAAAGAACAAAGGGTAAATACAACCTAGTTTGAATAGTTCAAGGGTATTTTTGCCTCTTTTCCCTAATTAAACTAATCCTAGCAAAATCTGTTGAATCAATTTATTTGTCCTCACAGCTCAACTAAACCAAATAGAACCTCAACAATGTTGTACAGACATGTGGATTCATTTGATAATGAATTCAGTTCAAACTAAATTCATAAAATCAATGATTTTTAAATTCCCTAGCAAAAGCACCTAGAATAAAATTTATTGAGCAACAAAGATATAAGCAAGAAATTATTCTTGTTAGAGTCTCACACTGTTTGAGAAATGATTTGTTGTTTCCTTATATGGTTTTGGGTAATCCATACCTCATATACTAGGTTTGGGGTTGAATTGAAACCAAGGTTCATTTCCTTTTCTTGCAAAAGCTTTTGTAGGGTGATAGCTAATAACTTGAGTTTTCAAAAGGAGGAGGAACACTTCGAATTTGAAAGAGATTTTATTGAGAAGTAATTTATATGGAACTTCTGAGGTGTTTATTAGTGTTAAGGGTCCTGGATATGATATCATTTGAGAATACAAACGCTTGTTGCACCCCAAAAACGGATTTTTGTTAGAATCATTAGTAGAAATAATCAAATGATTCTGTTGAGAATAGAATAAAGAATGAGATAGTCTATATCCTGTATCGATCATAGGATCACTTTATGAATAGGTCAATTCTTTGTGACCTCCCACCGTTCACGACATCCCTTTGATTTAGTTGTTCTAATTGTCAGAGTTTAGAGTGTAAGGTGTCTAATTTTCTGGTTCGATTGAATAGGGACTTGGTCGTTGTTCATTCTAAAACGGTCACCCGAAAATCGAATAAACGACATCAATGTTGTGGAACTCGGGTAGGCTTGTGGCATACTGCTATTCATATTTTTTCTATGTAAAGAGATCCTAATTGTCAAGCAAAGTTATCTCAACTCTAATAAATACTTGTATAAAATGAATTGAAAAAAATAATATCAAAGGAACCGTACATGACACTCTCGCGTCATACGACTCCGTCCCGGAAGCAGGACCTTCCCTTCGCCTTAGTCGGTGGCTAAGACTCAAATCGATTACCTACTCCTTAGGAAGTGTTATGGAGATCTATGCAAGGACAGTAAGGTTATAATTTAAAAGTATTATCATAAATATCGGCAAATTTACATGATATTAATGTTACTATTTTTTAATCAAATCCACAAATAAAATTATTTTATAATATTTATTAAGTTTTTTTTTAAAGTAAAAGTATACATAACTAAATAGAAATATTAACTTAATTGTTTTGAGTTTGGACTCTCTTTAATTTTAATTTAATACTATGTTATATTTTTTAATTAATTTTTATTGGTCCAGAGGTCGACCCTACCGATATTTCTCAAGCCCCTCAGATCAGCAGACTTATTCAGGCCGGCTAAAAAACCCTTTTCTTAAATAGGCTCCAAAAATCTGTCCCCCCCTATTAAATCTCGAGTTAGGACAGGTCAGCCCAACGGGCCTAGCCCATATTGACGGCTCTAGCTACATCTATAGCTGAAAATCGCAAGAAAAGAAAATATGGTGGTGCACTCTTTGAGTTGCCTACTACTGATGTCAAGGATGTGTCCATGGAAAATTCTAAACATGAAGGTGGGAGAAGATTCTCCTTTGAGCAATCGAAGAGAAGAAAAGGGAAAACGAGCTAAGAAGACCAGTAAAGGACAGTCGAAGGCATCTAGGATCAAGAAGGTTGATTCTGCAAAAGAAATGGGCAAGAGGAAAAGAAAATATTCTCCTGGTCTACAACGGGACCTGGTCCCATCGGGAGTGAGGATGAGCATGCAAAAAGGAAGCAAGAAATTGTGAACAATCTTCTAGGACGTAGAGTGTTTGAGCTTGACATCATCACCAAGCCTAGGATGGATTCTCTATATGATCTTGTGGAAATCCAGTCCTAGACTCATTTATTCCAAACATGAGGAAGAGGTACGAAAGTTCTACTGTAACATTGAATTTGCAAAAGACGATAGCATAAACACCACGGTAGGAGACAAAAGCCTGCATCTAGATGAGGACCATTGGGATGAATACCGGAAGTACCCAGGGGGTTCATAGTTGGAAAAATCTGCACTATGGAATTTGTGAAAGAGTGCTCTAAGATCCCTAACACACGACGTGCTGGAGTTCAAAAGAAACTCATGAAATGAGAGTACCAGTTGTTGTTTGAATTTGTCAATAAAGTACTTCCTCGAACAGGAAAAAGGATTGCTGCTTCTGCAGCCGATCTGTTCATCATGAAGTCTATGCAAATTCGATCCCATAGATCTTTCGGCCCTCATGATAGAGCATATGTATAAGACGGTGATAGAACACAAGGGCAAGCATGGCATGGGCTATGGCTATTTCAAGGTGTTTCACCATCTAAACATCCCAGTGGGAGCACGTAAACTTGGAACTACAAAATAGTCCTTCACTACTATGGTGGAATTTGAGTGTATAGAAGAAAAGGGAATCCACTAAGCAAAGTATCTCAGTTGATAATGGAATAGGATCAGTTGAAACATGAGTTGGAAGAGATGATTGTGCGTGTGAGTAACGAATATGGGAGATTGTTGTTGAAGGCAGAACTTCTCAAAGCACAATTTGAGGGACCTGGTATTGTAGAGGTCAACGAGTAAGGAAAAAAATTGATGAGCTCATAGATCAAAATGCGGCTCTGCAAGAGAAATTGATCACAGATCATGATGAAGCGAATGTTAGGCTTACTCTTGTCATTAGGTCCCTCTCCCATCAGCCTCCCTCCTCATCATCCTCTCTGTCCCTTCCTGTGTCGTTTTTTTTTGTGCGTGGACAGTGTCCAAAGTTCTCGATTCAGTTTAAGTTAAATGTATTGATTGTTGACCTTTGTGCTATAAATATGATTCTTGTTTTGTTAGGGCCAATCTCTATCTTTTCCTGTTTTTATCACCATAATGGTGTTGCCTTTGGTTGTGATCTTACTTAAACGATCTTACTTGTTCTATTGGTTTACTGCACTTCTTTTTATGATGCCAAAAGGGGTAAACATTGGGTGCTTAGGCTGTGGGGAACATGTCTTGATCGATATAGGGAAGATGGAAAAATGAAAGAAATTGTAGGCAGTTATATGATTGACAGGGGGATGTACAAATGAATAAGGGATCTTGATCGACAAGAGAAAGAAATTATAGGCACTGGTGTACAGTTTGTCAACATCAAAAAGGTGGAAAATGTTATTTGTAGTTTTGACGATTTGATAAACCCATGGACCTTGTAAAGGGACCTGATCCCTTGTGCAAATGTAGATACAACTGTCAAGCTGGAAAAAGTACAATTGGTTGGTACACAGTCTCTAACTGTGGCAGAAATGGCAGAAACCTTGGCCAATGGCATGGCCTCAAAGTTGTGACTATTCTTCATAAAGATTATGTACAATAGTCATAATCTTGGTTTTTGCAACTTGAAAACTCTCAAGAACTCTAGCAAAGGTTAACACTCAAGTGAAGAATCATCCTCAAGAACAACAAGGACCAGATAGAGCTGTAGGCTTAGGTGTCTTAGGATTATTTCTTTTGCACGTACACGGTAAATCTGTTCCTAACCAATTAAGGATTCAGATATTGTGTTTGGTGAAAAAATCTAAATCAGCTAAGGTTAAGAGATTCCGTGGGCGGCATTGTGTGTTGTTTAGTCAAAGTCTAAGTCATCCGGAGCATGGTGGTTTAGTGGAAAAGCTACATGTTGCTTAGATAAAGTCTAAGTTGTCTAGTGGTGATAGCTTAGTAGGCAGAATAACATCTGTTTAGGCTTTTCAAGTAATAGAGTTATTACTTGGTTGTGAGATTAATAAATTTTGTCTCAAATTGTTCTAACTGTGGTTCACTTTTGTTGAAAAAAGATTAGTGAAACAGTTGAAAATCCTACATGACAGGTCGTGGTTTTACTACCTTGAGCAAGGATATTTTCTCGTAAACTGCTTGTGTTGTGTTCTTATTTTTATTTACTCTTCGTTATTGTTCTTGTTGAGTCAAGGGACCTGGTCCATTGATTGATAGTGGACACACGCATTCTAACATGTTTGGATAGCCAAAAACACTCATTTGGACTGTCCTTCGGGGGTGGAGACTATGGTGCTCCGATGAAACAAGCTTGTAACTTTAAGTCTTTTGATTACACACTAGTTGTTAAGTTGTTGCAACTGACTGAAGATAAAGAAAGTTTCCGAAAGTTCTGCACTTCTGTCATACTAACGAGAGAAAATTAAATTGATGCAACAACTATTACTTACACTGTCCAAATCTAAGCCAACTACAACAGAATTTAAATATCCTTGTAGTATTTTTTTCTAAGCTGGCAAGTATTCATAACCCTACACAATGTTCAAGGACTGTTCCTAAGCAGTGAGGATGTAAATTTCCAGATCATAGACCCATTTTGCTGGAAATGGCAACTAGGATGCCACTCCATCTTACTTTATATTTGAAAATATGTGGCTGGAGGTAGAAGGATTTTTGGAAAAATCATGCAGAAACTAAGGAGCCTAAAGAAGGATATCATCAACTGGAATAAGGAGGAAATTGGGAAATTGGAGACTAGGAAAGATGTTATTGGAACAGAACACCTGGCAGACAATTGAATATAGCTGAGGCAAGTCAAATGACAAACCTGAAAGCTGAGATACAACAGTTGGCAAAACTAGAGGAGATTTCATGAAGGCAGAAATCAAGATGTCTTTGGCTCAAGGAAGGTGACAGAAACACTAAATATTTTCCGAAGATTGCTAAATCAAACAGTAGATCCAATAGCATAGACAGACTTCTCATGGGAAATGCCACTATTGAAGAGGAGGAAAAAGTAAGATGTTGGAATTCTTTGAAAGATACACTAAGCAGGAAAGTTGGAGCCTTTTGCTAATTTTGATGGAATGGCATCCATCACTATACAAGAAAGCAACACTATAAACGACTTTAATTCTCAAGAAGTTTTCAGATGCAATACCTTTCTATGGGTGGCAGACTAACACTGATCAACCGTGTGCTTGAATGCATCCCAACTTATAGTATGTCGCTCCATCCCATCACACGAAAGGCACTTAAACAACTTATAAAACTAGAAGGAACTTTTTTATGGGAAGGAAATCTTAGTAGCCACAAATTTCATTTGGTCAAGTGGGATAAGGTCTTGTTGCCAAAAGATTTAGGTGGCCTGGACATCAAAGACCTAGCACTACACACTCAGGAAGATCAGTGGCAATGGAAAGAAGTCATTTATTACAAAACATGGAGCCTTGAATCACTGGTGCTCTAAAGTCTCAACTAAACCTTATGGGGTTGGTTGCTGGAAAACCATAAGCAAGCTATGAAGATGTTCTCACAATGCAGACAAATGGTAATAGGGAATGGCCAACGCGTCAAGTTTCTGGAGAGATAAGTGGTTGGGCAGCACCCCCCAGAGGTTGCCTACCCCAAACATATTCAAGATAGCAAATTAGTGAGATGCTACAATACACCAACACAGGGATGGGAAGTCATGGAACCCCAACCTCAGAAGAAACATACAAGACTGGGAGATGGAAGAGTTAATCAGCCTTTTGGGAGCACTTCACAATGCCACAATCAACGGCCTTGCACCAGATCAACTAAAATGTGGAGATAGCAGGACTGGGGAGTTTTCAGTCAAGGTCGCAAATAAACTTCTATGCCCACAAAATGCAATTACTGCCTTTTGGCCTTGGGAAGTCAAATTACTTCCTAAAACTAGTTGCTTCAGTTGAACAGCACTGCACAGAGGATGTTTGATTCAAGATAAACCTAGTGCATGAAGGTAGCAGAGTCACACAACCACCTTTATAGACATTGTTCAGTATCAACAGACTTATGGAGTATGTTTATCACACTATTTGGACTCAATTGGGTCATGCTGCAGAGTATGGTGTTGCTGGAAAGTTGATAGCAACATCAAGAAAAATTGGAAGATGATACCTGTAGCTATTATTTGGAGAGATTGGAATGAAAGAAATAGGAGATGCTTTGATGGAATATCACTACCTGCTAATCTCTAAAAGCTAGTTGTCTTATCTTGTTGTATAGTTGGGTCTAACCTTGTTACCCTCATGAATTTTATCAGCTCATTAGCTTTCAACTAGATATGTACTGGAGCTGATAAGTTCTTTTTGCTACTCTACTTTTGTAACAATTGTACATCCACTTGATGTTAGCAATGAAGTATTTACTTCATCAAATCTTCTTGTAATATTGGGTTGGATGAATACGTCACTTTTCGCGACAGTGAAGTTGAAATGTTTGGTATACAATAGATAGAGAATTAAATTAGCTTGAAAAGCTAAGCTGAAACTTTTGTCATGTGAAAACTTGGAAATCCAAAGGGATTAGACTTGTAACAAATTCTTGACAAATAAAGAAATAAAATGGGAGCTTGATGTTGGTGCATTACATGGCAGTAAATTAAGGTGTTTAATCACGGGAAGTAGTATATTATTTAGGTGGCCAGTGGCCACCTGATTATACCTCAAATGGTAGCTTTGAATGAGGAGCTACAAGCTCGGACATTTTTCTTTAAAACAAGGTCGGACATGGTCCGTACTATAGGAACATTATTATATGGACTTCTATATATAAAGTGATGTCTTACCTTACTATACTAGTTTGACTCGAAAGATGAACATGCTGTATTCAGTACTTGTGACCGTCCAACAGAAATAGCTTATACAATGGCATCACCTCATTTTGTTTCTTAGATAAGACTGTTTGAAAGTGAAGTTACACAAAAGGCGCATTATTAGCACATTTACACAATGATATGTTAGATAATGGATTAGAAGCATCTTGAGGTTTATAAGACAATTGTACACTAGGTAATAAAGGGTGCATTGGAGGTGAATGTTACATCCGTAAGATTCAACTAGGTTTAGATTTGATAATGGAAACTTTTAAGGGTATAATTGACTTTCTACCATTGATAAAACATGGGGAAACAAATTCAGAGGATATGCTTAATACTGATAGCAGCAACGAATAGAATATATGCAACCATACTGCTATTTCAATTTTAGCAGCTTAGAAAGAGAATCGAGAAACATCACTGTGCAATACATATTTTCCTTTTTTGATAAACACTAATACTGTGTAACATCACTACATTAAGGGTTCCATAGCATAAAACCATAAATCACCATTAGTAAACTTTCAAGAGTAACACATTTACTCCACTTGTATTTTCTTACTACCTTTTGAGATGGCGGTTAATATTTTTAAGCTTAAGATGAAGAATTTAATTTAAATAATTAAACTAAACTATCAACTGAATTTAACTTGAAGAATAGAAATTGGAGAAGGTAGTGAGTTCGTTGAGAATGACTAGAAGAGCAGTATGGTTTATTGTAAGTAAATTGATTGAGTATTTTTGACACAGTAACATTTTTTATGAACGAGAAAGGTGTTGATACATACCTACAACAAGCTTGAGATTTCACACAAATCTTAGAATCAAGAACCTTGAAAATTTAGGCGGCAGACTGATTTCCTTGAGATTAATATAGGTACTGATTGTAATATAGGATGTAGATAATTGTTCATAGTGTTGTTTGGAACTCATGAGACAATTGCTGGTTAAGAAACACCAAAGGTATGTAAGGCTATAACTTTCAATCTTGAAGCTCCTACATGTTCTAATCAATGATACGCTTCTCCTATTTGATGTGTTCTTCTTATTGTATCTATATGTGTTCCTCAAATATGAGATTCTAGATTATTTGTTCGTCATATGCTTAAATATCCCGGAATACCCATGTTAGTTCTTTATGTGAGGAATCTTATTCTTCGTAGAACAAGCATGCTAAATGTATCCACGACTTCCCTTATGTTTAGAATGTTGATACGTTCATATCCTCAATCTTGTATGACCCTTCTAGTATGTTCTTCCAATGGAATGCCTCATTTACTTAAAAGACTCATATTCCAAAGCTTCTCTATGAAAGGGATATTCAAGTGCATGTGTACCATACCTACTTAGTGTGTCTTCACAAGATAAGTGTCGCTCCATGAGTGTCTTCCATAACATGGACTCTTAGAACAAGTGTCATTTTCTCTTGATGGACTAGTTGTACCGACTTACGATATCCCCTACATACAAATGTTACCATAAGATGAAGATAATTACCCTTTACGAATAATGCCCCTAAAAGACTTGAAAACTTAACGAATGTAGCCTTCAGTTATATGTACTATAGATGAGGCAAATCCAAGATATCATTCATTGGCATACACTCTCAGAGCTAAGGTCCTCATGATTGATGATACTTAACCCCACGACCCATAGTAATGTGTCCTCCGGGTAATATATATATATACAAGTGAGGGTATTTTTTCTCATATCTTCTTCGGCTTCCTATGGTAGCCTCTTCTAATTTATGGTCATCCCACAAGACTTTTACAGACTTTATATATATGTATATGTATATAAAGTTCGTGAAAGTCTTGTGGGATGACCATAAATTAGAAGAGGCTACCATAGGAAGCCGAAGAAGATATGAGGAAAAATACCCTCAATTGTTTGAAGAAATAGGTACGTAAATATTTAACTTTTTGAAAACGGTATCATTCTCAAAAAAATATTTAACTTTTTGAATACTCACTTTATTTGTATATATTTGAATATGCAAAATTTAATAGCTTATGTGAAATATATGATGGTTGGATTGTTGTATGAGGTTGAGATTATGAGATGGGATAGGTTGAAATTTTTGTATAGCTCCAGTTATAGGGTTTCTCTTGCAAAAAAATTGAAATTTTGTGAGTTAGCCAAATTTTGGGGCCTTAAGATAAAGGCCAAAATGGAACAATGTCTAAGGTTCTGTTTTAGATCATATATGGCTAGTATTTGATACAGTTAACCTAGTCCTGCAAGGAAAAAAAACCCAATCATTGTTTAATCTCTCAAAGAATATTATTTGGATATATTGATATCTATTCTACAGTGGGTCTCAACAAGAAGATTAAAGGTAATCTAGTATGTTATATCCTTGTTTAAATTAGTAAGGTTACATTTGAAAGTAGAAAATGGGTCACTGAGTTATTGTGAATTAGTTGATGAAAACGAATCCTAAGATGAGATTTTTGAGCTTGTATATTGAACTGGATTATTTATGTAGATTGAGTTGTTGATCGTTGTTGGCGAATGTAGAAGTTATCTAACTAGAAAGGAAGATCTTTGAGGTGAGTGGAGGCTTGTTCTTACTCAAGTTCCTTCCTTACAAAGTCATGCTCATAGAGTGTTTAATTAAATGTGTCTTAAGGTTAGTGTGAATTAAATTGGAATGAGTAAGCTCACATTGCTTATCGTTGAATAAGTCTATCCAGTGCTCTATGTTTTCCTCCTTGTGCTAATCCATCTAATGAATATGGTGGTAGTGTCTCATGTGTATGAGTGCTTCATGCTAACTTTGTCCAGCCCCAAAACAATGCTTAGTTCTCCTAGAAACATGACAAAGAAAGCCTCCAAAATTATGTGTTGCTCTTTCATGATCTAAGTTGGTTGGACTCGGTTGTGGGTGTCCGAGACTAGCGCGGATCTAGAGGTCGGATACTCTATGAAGTATGCTCTAAAATTTAAGATTCAGGGATTCGGATTCATGTATGGATATGGGTGTAGAGATTCAGCCAAAAGTACTTCAAATATCTAAAAATAGAGTTAAAAATTCTAAATTATGAAATATTATACGGAGAACTTGAGGAGAAATATTGATCAAAAGAAGAATCCTAGAAGGAGATAAAAGGAAAGGGAGTGACAATTGAAATTTATATATACAAGGTATTTCATTTTCTTCAATTTCACCTTAGTTTTGTTTTTATAATAGAAAACTTCTTTTTGAAACAGGTAAGATACTATTTTGATAATAGAAATCATTGAATTTGTCCATAATTTCTCCCTCGAATTTGGTCAAAGTACCCAAAACTAGTTGATCAGATCGGGTACAGATCCTAAGCCTATATATTGTCGAAATGAGCGTGGAACCGAAAGTGAAGAGTCCAAGCAACTTTGTTCATAGTGATGAAAGCCATAAAGTACCCTCTTATGCTATGACTTCGATAACTAGTAACCATATAAAGGGTTATGAGTAACCGTACAAAGGGTTATTAGTTTTTCCATAAAGAGGCATAACATAAATGGTAATCGTACAAAGGGTTGAGAGTAATCGTATAAAGGGTTACAAACCTTTCCATAATAAGACAACATAAATGGTGGTTGGTATAAAGGGTCATAAGCATCTATACAAAGGGTTGCTAATATTACCATAACAAGGCACAAAAGATTTGGTGGTTGTATAAAGGGTTACTAATTGCCACAGTTGGGCATAAGAGAAGTTCAGTCGATTGAAACAACTTAAAGAGCGTTAAAAGAGTGAATTAATGAACTAAGATAATAAGTTTTAGTGATTGTTTTCCTAGTTCACTCTTATAAGATACTTTAGGATGAAATAGACTCATTTCCTCTCTTTTTCTTTTTCTTTTTTTGGTAACTGAGAAATCCGTTTGTGACCCGCCCTTTGGACCAATCACAGTTGACTTGTTTCCTCTCTTATCCCTTCATTACTCATATGTTTTATTCAAGGTCTCATTCTGACTTAGTGAGGGGAATGTTAAAGAGTCACTGAGTATTGTTAGTGGTTCCATAGATAAGGTACTACAAGTTAGGTTAATTTATTCCAAAAGTTGATTTGGTGAGCTCCACTATACTATAGAGTTTCTTCTCTTTCAGTCTAACATTTTTATTCATTATTTTTTTACCAAGTACTTGTTTGCGGATTAGCGAGGAGATCTATGTCCTGTGCATTCCCCTTGGTATTCCAGTAGAGGCTTCATAGATGTGTTTTTAGTTGGGTTATGGTTTTTCACATTACTTAGCATTATTTTCAATACTTTCTAGTTTGCAGATTTAAATAAATACTTGGATCATTTAAGAATAATAGGAATAGAGTTTTGATCCGAAAGCGTAGTAAAATCTACGTGGTTAACAGATTTTATGTATATTTGGAGTATTTACAAAAAAATGGAATAGAGTTTTAATCCAAAAGTGTAGTTATTTATTTCAAATCTACGAGCGGTGTGTGACATTAATGTACATGCTACAGTAGTCAAGTTGGTTTGCTTAGTGAAGCATCGGGTGCCAAACACGGCTTGTTTAGAAAATGGGTCGTGACAACATCATCATGTGAAGAGGATACTTTTTCATAAGTGCATGGCTTCACCTATGAAGTAATCATCCATTGCTTTGCATCACTTTAAATGATGAAGCGATAACTTTTAATAGCACTGTATATACATTTGAAGCATTTAAATCAGGAATATAAATTGGGGATGAGGAGGCCAATCCTATTGGGAAGTGGGCAGGTACTATCTAACCGGAGATAGCAAAAGATGATGCAAAGAAAGGACCAAATGTAAGATATGAACCTATAGCCGTCCTCTCTAACTGCAATGATGTCGCCAATCAAATGGTAATTATTAACAAATGAAAACATACAGAGTTGGAAAGAACTTCGCCAATCATAACAAGATATCACCTTCATTCAAGAAATTGAACAACGAAGCTTGAACGGAAGCCACTAAAGGATATCAACAATCTCTATTTTTCCTTTAAGATAGGTAAAAGGATAGCAATAGTTGAAATATCCTAATGTTTTGCTACCTTAGGACTCTCTTATTTTCCTTCTAAAACAATTTGTCCTAAGATGGCGAAACTGAAAACGTGGAAGAAACTAGACAAATTTTTGTTTCTCGTTGTGGATAATCAATGCATTTTTTACTCCCTAAATGTTGGATATATGGGATTCATATATCCAACCCTAACTAATTGGGATCAAGATGTAGTTGACTGAATAAGTTGAGGTAATTCTATCAACCAGAGCTGTAAGTTACCGGATCATTTTTCAAAAATAAACAGTATTAAAGTTACTCAAACTAAAATAAATGGGGATAAGAACTGTCACCCTTTCTGTTACTATCGAAACGTCCAAACAATTGGCAAGGAAATAAATTGCTGCCAATAGCAGCATAACAGTAGGAACCTAGAAAAACCACAAAACTAGATTAAGTCATGACATACAAATCTATCCAGAACTGCCACCATCGAGTCAATACTGGTCAATTACCATATTAGCCAAATGCATAAACTCAGCAAATTTTTTTTTAGAATCCCTCATTTGATAAGTAGTGAAAGAAACCTCTACAACCACTTCTTCACAAGCAGCAAGTATAAAATGGTAAAATGAATAATTCAATCAAAACAAAAATCAATTACTAACTCATTCATTCTCTCGTAAGCCGACTTTAACATTTTCAATGATGAACCCTAACTGAATCGAATCAATACAAAATGACCAAGTTAACAATAAATTATACAGCAATGATAAAAGAAATTACTTCGCAAAGGTAGAAGAACCGGACCTGAAAACGAATTCTTAGGGTTTCGATTCTCAATGTTCTCAATTCATCAGGTATAGATTATATCGGCGAAAAATGGCCGGACCGTAAAAGACCTCTTTGTCTATTTCTCTCTTTCTTTTATTGGGAGAGAGGGTTTTACAGTCCCAGCTCAATTTAGATTTCCACTTTCTCTTCTTACAAAATTTTGTTTCCCAAATAAATATTGATGATGTTAAATAGGTTCATATCATGTTCTATAGGCTGCAAATATGGTAAATTTACTTTATCTTATAATAAATTTAATGAAAAAGGTCATGATTTAAACAAATATTTGAAAATTATACTTGGGAAGGACAAATATTTATATAAATTTGATGCGTATCTAAATATGATCGAGATGAATATTCATCACATATAGAAATAACTTTGTTGACTTTGAATTGAAAGGGGAGGGCTTTACTTTTAAGGTAGAATAATCTAATTTAACTAATCATGTGGAGTTCATGGTCATAGAACTTAACAATTACATCTACTTGTAAAAAACGAAAGACATTATTTTATTTTTAAGTTATCAATAAAATAATAGTTCTCAATTTCTAATAGATTTGACTAGCTATAAGATATGTTTTTTTCTGTGTGAAAAGACTAAATAATATTCTTTTGTTATCTTAGTAAATAGTACTACTCAATCAGCAAATTAAAAGGTTAAAGTAGGTTATTTGAAACACAAATTTTATTATTTTTTACGTAACCTATATATTTTAGTTAAACGTATATGTTATTCTCATTGCCAAGTTTATTTGCCTACTATATATAGACTATTCTTAAATGTTGTTTTACGGAGTTGTTTGAACATGTTGAAATTGTGTACAAGATTTTCTCATTGATAGGACTTGTAGATTTATTATTTTTGTTTTATTCATAATAGAACTAATGATGGAATAATTACATATCCAAACTGTATTTAAAAATATAAGAAATATAAATAACTCTTTGTGGAAAAGGAAGATGTATCTGAATTTGAGTGATCAACGATGATTAATTTTACAGAAAAAGGCTAAAAGTATCTCTATACTATAGGAAAAAGTTTTAAAATGTTTTTCATCCATCTTTTGGTATAAAAATATCATATCATTCATCTTTTTGGTTCACTATATATTCTTGAAACTAACAATTCTCTCTTTATTTTTTATTGGCCGAACGTATAAACAGATCCCTAAAATTGTTGGGTTTTTTCCTCAGCTACCTCAACTACGTCATTTTTCTATTGAATCATTGAACCACTCATAATTTGTTCCTTTTAAACATTGTTAGTTGATTTTGATCGACTATTCTATTGTAAAATGCCTTCAATTGTGTTTGTATTGTAATGATTTTGATTGAAGGAATAACGAAGACAAACTGTGTTAATCTCATTTGTTTTCTAATGTGTTCAAATGAGCTTTCTAATGTGTTCGAATGACTAAAGTAAAACACAATTGTTCCCGAACATTTTCACTATCAATTGGACTAATGAGATCTGGAACAACATATGTATCCTCTATCAATACCCCTCACAAAATCTGATTTCACATCCGTCAACGATGTTTATTTAAAAGAACAAATTATGGGCGGTTCAATTATTCAATAGAATATAACATAGTTGACGTACCTGAGGAGAAAACTCAACGAGTTCAGGGATTTGTTTATGTATGTGACCTTTTTTATTTTTAAAAAATATTTATTATGTCGCATTCTCCTATTGGATAATATAAACAATCCAGTTCAACTTAGATTATTTCTCATTATTTATTCAAACCAAAGCAATATACCCCTTCAAGACCCCAATTATTTTTATAAAATAATCTTATAATTTTTTATATTATTGTAGTTTTTTATTATTTATTTATTTTTATAGCTTCTCTCCATTTTCTCAAATTTTTACTTGGATCAAAGACTTGTGAATTATTAGGATTTAATTAATTAAATCAAGATCTAAATATCATATTTGAAAATAAATTAATAATGTCGTGATCATAACAATATATTATCTTATTAATAAATACATTGCACATTTTTTACTCTATTTTCCTACTTTACTTTACGGCTATGACCACCCGTCTTTCTTTTTTTAACGAGTTAATTTTTTAAGTAAAATTGTTGGCGAAACTTTTTATTTGAAAAGTAGTTATCACGGAATTGCAAAAAATATAACTTATCAATTTATATATTTATTTCAAAGAAGAAAGATAGATATTTCTTAGGATTTACGAAAAACATAATATGTTGCTATAATTGTGGAAATATTAATATTTCTATAGTATATTAGCTATACAAAACAAAAAAAAAACTAAAAAAAAATAGAGCAAATATAAAACATATTAGATTTTTTAAATTAAAAAAAAATTGGGGTTCTTGAAGAGGTAATTATTCTTTTTAACTGGACAAATTATAAGAAAAATTTAACAAATGTGAAAAATTTATTTTATCCGATAAGAAAATGACACAATATATAAATTTTTTTTTAAAAAAATAGAACATTTGGTTGTTATCATAAAGGTATTAGTAAGTCAAAAGGTGAATGAAAATGTACTTGCAGACCAAAAAAGATAAGTACAAGAATATTTATGGATCAAAATGTGGATGAAGGATATTTTTAGACTTTTTTCTATAGTTTTTTAAAAATTGAAATAGGCATGTAACCCATTAATTCAACAACTAAAAAATCAGGTAAAATTTTCAAACAATAATATTTTAACATTTAATGGAGCATCCTAGTAGAGCTTTTATTATTTATTAAAGATGTTAATATTTTAGTTTGTTATATTGTTGATTTATGTATTTTTATCATTTGCTTAATTTAAAAAAAGATACAATTAGTTAACAACAGAATGGAAAGGAAAATAATATTTTAAATAAGTTAATTTTTAAATTTAAACCAACAAAAATTACCATATTTACTAATCATAATTTTGGTATAACATTAAGTTGGCCTAGATTTATTTGTTTTCACTACTAGTCTTTTCATCTTTTATTTTTGAGATTTTAATTTACAAAATCTCTTTCTTATTATACATGTTTGGTTCCACAATTAACACTACTTCTATTTCCCTTAAACCTCAAATTTTCAACATTAATTTTTAACTCTCTATTGAAAATATTCATTTTGTGTCGAATTGAAATCTATTGATTAAAGAATTTTGTTGGTATTGAAGAAGATTTTAGAATGAATACAAAATTAAAAAATAATACAAATTTTGTTGGCATACAAAGTGATCACAAAAAATCCAAAACTTGTTAGCATACATTTAAAATTAATACAAAATAAAAAAGAAAATACAAAACTTGTTGGCATATTGAGATTGAAATACAAAGTGAGCACAAAAAATCTAAACCTTGTTGGCATAAACTTAGAATTAATACAAAATAAAAAGAAATACAACACTGGTTGGCATACAAAATGAGATTGAAATACAAAATGAGCACAAAAAATACGGAAAAAAAAATACAACACTTGTTGTCATATAGTTAGAATGTATACAACCAAAAAAAATTGTCTCAAGCCTAATTTAAAATAACATTCAAAATTCTGTAAAACTATTTATCTAATACAAAATTAAACAGATTTATAATTTGAAATGAATCACACCTATAAAATAAATACAAGTTACACCTAAAATCTCAAATTTTAGCAAGATACACAAGAATTTTGTAATGATTACAAATTCAACAAACAATACAAACAGTAAAGAATACAATTTGATAGTTTAGATACAAAATGCAACATGCCATAAAGTTATTTTTCATCACTCTGATCTTCAATAATTTTATCAATTTTTCAAATATTCACATTCAAAAATGACACTTCTTCGCCTGACACTTCAAAAATGACATTTCTTCACCTGATACTTCTTCGAGGTCCATATCCAACATACAAAACATATAAAATACTTTTGTATATCAATACTTCGACAAAGGTTGAATATCTTTTGAATGATTTCTAAGATATCTTAGAAAAATGGAGGATTTTGATTTAAGAAAAAAGCAAGGTTTGAGTTACTTGAGGATATGGAATAATGAAAGAAATCTTTAGAGAGAAAAGAGAAATGATAGAATTTGACTAAAAATATTTAGAGAGTGAAAAGTGAGTAATGGAGTCTATTATTTTTAAACAAAAAGTGAGTCTAATTTGAGAAATAAAAGGAAGGTAAATGAATTATATTAGGATACACTTTATTTGTTAAAATATTGTCATGGTGATATTTTAAATAAATATTTTAAAATGCTATTATTTTGACTAAATATATTAGGTAGTTTAATTGTACCTCATTATAAAATTAATAAGTAAACTCATTCTTTGCTAAAGAAATATCAATTTAAAACCTTTTAAGTTTCTGGTCACTTAAAAAAAAGAAAAAAGTAGGCTATTTTTTTTACAAAAAATATAAATCTGGTAATTTCTGCAAACAAATGTAAATCTGGTGAATTTCGCAAACAAATGTACATCTGGCCATTTTGCAAAAACTATAAATCTGGTCATTTTTGCAAAAATGAAAATCTGGTCATTTTTTACAAAAAAATATATATGTAAATATGGTTTTTTCATAAATTATTTTTTTTCCTTCTCTTAAATAAATATATGAAATTGCTATTGAAATAAAATATACAAAATCGGCTTATTTGACTTAGTAATCTAACTATTAGATAAAATGGACTATTTTTGCAATCTTCTTTCAAAGATAACAATGTGGCCATTTTGTATAAAATATAAATTTTACTAAAATGATATTTTTGAAATTTTATCAATATAAAATATATAGTATATCACTACTTGTTTTAAAGGAGGCTTAATTATTATTCTGTAAAAGCAATATCTTCTTTTTCTTTCGTTGCTATTGTCAAGTAGTGATACTTAAATATCTATATTTGTTTTTTTAAATGTTAATTGGCATGTTGCCAAAAAAAATTATTTTCTTGTTTGTATGTTGCAACAAATTAATTTATTCGTTTTTTATCATTATTAAATAAATTTTTGAGTAATTAATTAATAACTTTTTTTTTAAAGTAACAGATAAAATTTAAAATAGCACCATATTTTCGGTTACGATCCTTGGTATGTATTTTTTTTTTAAAAAAAAGGGTCTTGTATACGGTTACGCTCCTAAAACAATTATTTTTTTTAAAAATAGTAACTAATACAAATCTACCTTTTTTATTCAAAAAATTATTTTTAGCCAAATATAAGTTAATAAAGCGATTATGCTAGAACCACGACTCGGGGGTGCCTGAAACCTTCCCTC